TATCCATTATCGAATTCCTCCAAGTACAAGTACGAGTACAAGCGACCTGGCATGAGCGGCCGAAGCCCCTACGCGAACGGATACGGCTACTCCGACACCAGCCGCTACGATCGCGGTGATGGCGGGTACGGCAGCAACGGCAGCAACGGGAGTAATAGCTTGGGGATGAATGGATATGGAGGAGGAGGGGGGGGAAGCGGTGGTGGCGCCGGAGGTAGCAGCGGTGCATCAGGGGGCCGCGATCTCCGGCCTGGAGGCTATGGTGGCTTCTACCCGGAGGCGTCGCAGTCGTCCTTGTCGCCGGCTCAATCCCCGGAGCGGCGCCGTGACCGATGGGATCGCGACCCCGAGCATTCGTCGTCGCGGTCCAGAACCAGGGAGGGCGATGCCGAGAGGGCTACGTTGGGCTCTCGAGACGGTCGGGCGCGTGGAGAGACGAGTTGGTTAGGAGGCAGCAGCAGCCGCGAACGCGAACGCGAACGGGAACGGGAACGAGAGCATCGGGTAATGAACACTGCTGGACGCGCGGGGGCGCAGGGAGGAGGCTCTCAGGCCATTGAAGGTGCGATAACGCTATTTACCTGGAGGGGAAAAGGCTATCTTCCGTTGTTGTCGGGATTGCTTGGGAAATACCATTTGGGGCTGACTTCTTCGCGAATTCGCAGATGTGTTGCAGATGGTTCAACGGGAATGGGACTTCGTGGCTTCTGAGAGCTGTATTCCGGTGCAGGTGGCGCTGCAACTGATGGACACGAGCACGTTGGGCAAGGCTGAGCGTGAACCGGAGTTCTTGGAGATCCATGACCAGATACAGCGGACGCTGAAGTCGGTCGTTAATGGTAAGTGGGACTTGTTGGGAATGGGATCTGACGATGATGGTTCGTGGACACCTTTTTGCTGATGTCGCTCGCTAGAACACCATCAGGGCTTCAACAGTTCTATCGGTACATACCATAAGATCCAGACTAGTATCCAGACGTCACAGACTCGTGTGCGGAACCTGAAGAACGCCCTTGAGGGAGCAAAATCGGGCTTACTGTCCACTAAGCCCGAGCTGAAAGGGCTGGCTACCTCTTCGCAAAAGTACGACGATATCATCCAGCTCTTCAGCCAGATCCAGGAGATCCAATCGCTGCCGGAGAAGCTGGAGTCCCGCATCTCCGATAAGCGTTTCCTTGCCGCCGTTGAAGTGTTGCATGACGCGCTACGGCTGTTGCGGCGCTCTGAACTCGAGAACATCGGGGCGCTGGCGGACATTCGCGCGTACTTCGGTAGCCAGGAGGCTTCTTTGACGGATATCTTGATTGAAGAGCTGCATGATCATCTGTACCTGAAATCTCCTTACTGCGCCAATCGATGGAAACCCCCAACTGCCGAGGGAGAGGGCAACGGTGTCAATGCATCCAGCTGGTCTGGTAACAACGCCTGGGAACGTCCAGTCTACAACTTCTTGGCCAAGCTGGATGCCTCTAACCCGATGGTGGAGGATGCTTCTCGCAATCCCGAAGCCGACACATTCTACTACATTCAGTTACTCATAGAAGCGCTCAACAAGATGGGTAATCTGGACATCGCGGTCGATCGGATCGAGCAGAGGCTCCCCGTCGAATTGTTCTCCGTTGTGGACAAAACGAATGCCGAAATCGACGCACGTTACCCTGAGTTGTCTACCCGTGGCTTTGCAGCCCAAGACAGCAGAAGCGGCGTGGCATCGAAGGCCATCGAGAAGCGTGGTCACGTGCTGACCGAGTTCTTGTGGACATTGTATGCCAAATTCGAGTCTATTGCTGAGGGCCACCGTGTCGTTCATGACGTGATCGCAGCCATTGTTACACGAGAGGGCATCCCGAAGAGCAACACGCTTGCTGGTGGGTTCAAGGAGCTTTGGAAGCTTTACCAGAGCGAGGTAGGCGATCACACCGCGGTACTGCTGGTTGTTTTCTGACAACACCTGTGTAGATTCGCTCGCTCTTGCATGACTACTTGGCTACTGATGGAGAGTACCGACCAAGGGATGAAGACGACGCTAGGCGTCAAATGTACACGGGCATGCGAGACAAGAACAAAGTATGTGAGGAGAGCCACAATGACGACTGCTGAATACTAATCGAACGCAGAAAATGTTCAAGCTGTCGGAAACAGATCAAACCACAGAAATCCAAGCCGAGCAGTCTGAACTGGACGAGATTCTCAGGTCATCTGTGCCGGGCTTAGTGACCAAGTCTAATCAGAAATTCGCAATGACTGATACCTCTGATGCTAGGCAAGGCAACTCGGGTACTGGTCACAAGATCCTCATTGAACCGAGCGTATTCAATATCAGTCTCGTGCTGCCCCCCTCTCTTTCTTTCATTCAACGGCTGAAGGAGATCGTGCCGGTAGATTCGGATCTCGCGATGACCACATTGACCTCCTTCCTAGATGACTTCTTGGTCAATGTATTCTTGCCCCAACTCGATGACACAGTCACAGACCTCTGCACTCTCACTATCGTCTCGCCCGATGCATTCACAGAAGACCCCCAATGGTCCACCGTCTCGCCCCGGCCGGTCTTCAAGGTACTTTTTCTGGCATGGACATTCCGAGCTTTGTTACTGACTGCGTTTCAGGGAGCGGTCAAGCTCATGTCAATCATTCAAGACTTTAGCAAGATGCTATCCAGTATCCCTCCTGATCAAGCCTTCACACAGCTGCTTCTTACTCAGATCGTGACTTACTACGATAAGTGTTGTGGATGGTACAAATGTGAGAAACTCTCACGATCTTGATGCATGCACAGCTTATTAATTCCAATGGTAGCAATTGTGACCAAGAAATCTCCGCGAGACAAGGGAGAGCCCCGGCTCAAGGCCGCTGCAGGCTTTGCTGAGGCTGGAGACGTTCATGATGTCGTTGCCGAGCTCTGGAGAAACGAAACGAGTGATAAATGGACACTTGTCGATAAGGTATGGTTTCGTGAATAATCCTAGTATGAGTCGTGCTGACGAAAGATAGGAAATCGAGCTGCTTCTCCAGCTGACCTCCGAGGTCCCGTTAGAGCCTTACGACATCGTGTCAGACCCCAAAACCGTGGTGGCTCTCTCGCTTCTTCACAATAGCATGGTTCGTTTGCTCAGTCGGTCACACTAGTTCTCTGATATACTGACTGAGATACAGCAATGGTTTGCGAGTCACCTGGCCCAGCTGCGCCAAATCATCCCGACCTCGGAAGCTCGACGCCCGGAAACTGGGCCCCCTAACCGTCGTTGGACCTTGCTCGGGGCAATGAAGTCCAAGGTCGATGGTGTCAGTCAGCCGATATATCTGCCCTTGAGCCAAGAAACAGCAACCATCTTCGACAACACTCTTGGATCACTGCGCGAACTGGCATACACTGCTCTGTTCGCCCTCCACATCGATTGTCGGTGTGGCGTCATTCATATGCTGAAGAAGACGATGGCAGGGCCCAATCCTCGAAACTTGCGCGCTTCTGAGCCTACGACGCCGTCTCCCAACAGCACCACTCACTGGTGGCATATTCTGATGAATCAGCCCACTGCTGCATCGCCCACGATTCTAGAGTTGAATGGTGATCTGATCGGCTTCGACAGTAACATATCCACTTACCTCGGATCATCGGAGAGATGGTTCATTACCTCTGGGCTTGCTCGCTTCATCGACCAAACATTTGTGGCGAACACCGGCCTGATCGGCGCTATGAACGAGAACGGAGCCTTGCGCCTCCAATTGGACGTTCTCGTCTTGCAACAGAACCTAAAGAACATTATCATCGATCCGATGCAGGACCCGGCTCATGAGGGAACCACCAGCCCCCACGAAGAGCACCACGAGGTGGTCGCGCTCCCGCGCAGCGCCAAGTTCCTGGACTGGTTCCTCGAGGGCGCCGAGAAAGCCCTAGACTACGCCAAGGAAGAGAAGGAATCCTTTGCTGCCCATGGAGAGAAAGCGCTGGCCGCTGGAAACGGAGAACCCTTCACGTACGAAGAGCTCAAAATCCTCATTGATCTCTGCTTCTCGGATGCTTTGCTCGGACCCAGAGGAGCGGACAACCGGGAGGAATTTATGGCTGCCAAGAAGGCCAGTGCGGATGCTCTGCTGAGGTTGAATGAAGTGATGTGGGATTCCAAGTAGGCGGATGCACATATGATCCACACTGCGATGCGAAATATAATTTCTTCATTTCCATAATTCGACGTTGTGCTGTAGCCCCAGGGGGGTATCCTAGATGATGGGAGGCCAGAACGGGATGGACCGACCCACTTGCCAGATGCTCCGAAATTGTCCAGAATTTTTTTTTCTCATCCAAGCAGTGACCAGTCGTTTGACGCCAAGCACAATTTCAGGAGAACATGTCTCTTGGGGTGGACCGTGAATTTTTGAATGTGAACAATGAACATCAACCCAGAATCATCAGACGATCGAGAGCTCCCCCTGGGTCGAAACTCGAAGAAGGGATTCTGAGACAGTTCCGCTTAGTGCGCTTAGTGCTTAGTGCTTAGGCTGATAACAGTCTAGAGCCACGACTCGTCCTAACTGGTTCCAACTGGTTCCAACTGGTCCCAACTCGCCGTTGCGAGCAAAATCTCCGGGGTGGGTCTGACCGGAGTAGTTTAATTAAATGCCAATATATCATTGCCCGCACTTGAATCCATTGATCGAATTGAACGATCGAATTGATCCCCAGTCCAGTGTTTCACCTCACGATCTCATTTCCCGCTGGTTGCTGCCTTGCCCAGTGGCCACTCTCTCTCTGCCTTTCGGCCCGTTGACTGCTGCCCCTGGTAGTTTCATTTCCCTGATATTGCTGACAATGGGGCAAAATCATGAGGTCGAAATTGACCCATCATAATGTCCGGATCACGGGGCAAACATCTTGTGCTTTGGGGGTTCCTTTTATTCCCTTGATCCCGCGCTGTGAGCTCTTTTCGTTCTTTCTATCCTCCTTCTCTCCATCTCTCGTTGACCACTACCACTCTGTCCGGAACAGCAGTTCTATAGTCCTGGGATTTGATATCCAGGCGTCCATTCTTTCCTAAGCCAACTTCATCCGTGTTGATTCCACGTTCTTTTGCCATATCGGCAGTCCAACAAGAGACCAACCTTCCATTCATTATTTGCCTGTTTCGAACACATTTCCCCGCACATCAACCATGAAGTACGAACGTCTTGCCTCGCTGGGCTTTGCTGCCCTGGGTGCCCTTTCCTCTGTGACTGCCCGGCCTATTGCGACCCCCGACGACGACGAGTGGGATTGTGGCGACGATGATGTTGCTGTCAGCACGCACTATGCGACAGTCACTCCCACTGCCGCGGTCGAGACCTCTACCTTCACCGATGTTGAGGCTACTACCGTGTTCCTCACCACGACTATCACCCTTGGTGCGGGTCAGACCACTTCATCTGTTCAGACCGTGGTCATCAACACTCAGGCTGCCACTACTGCCGCTGCTCAGCCCACTTCCACCGTTGAGGCTGTGACGGTCAACACCCAAGCTGCCACTACTGCTGCCCCTGCCCAGGTTTCTGTTGCCTCCGTTGAGGAGCAGAAGCCATCCACCACTAGCACTAGCACCACCGCCGCCAGCGTTGCCACTACTGCAGCTGCCCAGGTCTCCGTTGCCTCCGTCGAGGAGAAGAAGGCCACTTCCTCTTCCACTAGCACCACTGCCGCCAGTGCTGCCACCTCTTCTGCCTCGTCCTCTTCCTCTTCCTCCAGCAGCTCCAGCAGCACCAGCAGCAGCCTGAGCTCCGAGTTCTCCGGCGAAGCCACCTTCTACGGCGGCAACGTCGACGGCGGCGCCTGTTCGTTCAGCGGCTACACTATCCCCTCCGGCCTGTACGGTACAGCACTGGGCTCCCCCCGCTGGGACGACGCGGCCCAGTGCGGCTCCTGTGTCCAGGTCACGGGCCCCAGCGGCAACAAGATCAAGGCCATGGTAAGCAGACCTTACCCCTAACCCCGAACAAAACCAAACCAAACTAACACCCCCTCCCAAAAGATCGTGGATGAATGCCCCGAATGCGACTCCAACCACCTGGACCTCTTCCAAACGGCCTTCGCCGAGCTCGCCGACATCTCCAAGGGCGTCATCTCCATCGACTGGGAGTACGTCGACTGCGGCATCACCACCCCGATTAAGCTGAACAACAAGAGCGGCACCTCCGCCTACTGGTTCGCCATGCAGGTCGAGAACAGCAACGAGCCCGTCACCAGCCTCGAGGTCAGCACCGACGGCGGCAGCACCTGGCAGTCCACCACCCGCTCCACCTACAACTACTTCGAGAACGCCAGCGGGTTCGGCACCGACACCGTCGATGTGCGCGTCACCGGCCAGTCCGGCGCCACCATCACCGTCAACAACGTCAGCGTGTCGTCGGGATCGTCCGTCACGGCCTCGTCCAACTTTTCTTAGCCCTAAGGAAGCGGCGGGTGATGTGATGTGATGACTGCCTGCCTTAAGACACAGGGAATCGACGTCACGCCATACCTTTTGACTCGTTTTTTTATTTTACTTCTTCAAGCTGACTTCCTTAGCGGGGTTGCCTATAGCGCTTGTCCGCCCTCTCGCATGAGCAATGGTAGACAGCGCGGTATATCAATTCTAAGCTATATCTTTCTCTTGTATATATTGACCAGACCATTTCAAAAAGAACTTTCTCTTCACCTTGACATCCAACCAAGTTCGAGTACTATGCTTACTAGGCTCATCCCGCTGCGATACCTGTCCCCCTAGTTCTTTTGCAGGCTCCATGCAGAAAGAACCCCTTTTGCCCGAGACCCAGCAGCCAGCCAGCCACCCTTCATCCGGCCGAGTCATCCCCACCGGCACTATACACCCAGGCGCAGTAAGACCCGGAAATAGTAGATTAAACCCCGATACTCCGTAGTTTATGGGGCTTTCTGCAGGTACCAATGCATGTGTCCAATTTTCAGTCGTTCATGGATTGAATGAGCTCGGAGAACAATTCCCGACAAAGCTAGTTCTCGACCAATCGATTGTCTATGGGAGGGCCCATGGAAATGAAGATTATGAAAGAGAAGAAGGAGTATGCTCAGGTTGCCTGCCTTCCCTGCCAGGCCCGGCTCGTGTAGATAGGTGACTGATTGGACAACACGCGGCAACAGTATTATCATCCGCATACCGTAGCCGCAGTTCTTCTCGGGGGGACGCTAGTTACAGCTCGCAGTGCTTTTCAATGGGAGTGGACCCTGCGAGCTATAGCACTGCAGCTGCAGCAGCAGCACGTGTGTGGTCAGCATTGGGGGGGGGGGTGCCTGTACCATGGCAGGAGAGTCAATCTAGGACCAGGGGTTTCATTCGTCATTGACTAATCCACCTGCGGAAATCTACTCAACGCTCCCATGGACTTTCCCCTTTCTACTCTCGGTCTCGGTCAAAACTTGACGCCGCTCTTTACTCTTTGAACTATCTGATGTGTGTGAAAAAAAGTCTAGAAGAGAAGAATCCCGTAGTGTCAATCCTGGTTCACAGCATGTTTCTCCATCAGGTCCCTAGTAATGTACTAGGATTTGGTTAGTAAACAGACCGTCTGTGCACATCACTGCAGATTCGGTGTAGTATTGATGTCAGGTTGAGGATGTAAGGTCAAAATGCACCCGAGATTAGAACATTGGGCGGAATTTGGAGAAGCTTCACGCTCTGCAGACATATCCAAGATGAAAGAAAGTGTCGGCTTTGGCCTTCACACACGTTGTCATGTATCGTACCGTGCTGCTGCGAGCTAACCAACTACCGGACACATCATTCATACCAGATTGGAGCATCTCCACGCGCTCGGGAGCGCGACGTGCATGTCATGTAGTTGTCGGCAGGCGCTCGAGAACGAACTAGAGACCCGAAAATCATACAATCAGGTCTACCATAATGCCCACCTGAGAATGACAGCCAGGACAGCCGCCACAAAAGCCAAAACCAGTGCTCGGTGGCCCCCCATCCATGCAACTGACCCGCGGATCCAGCCCCGAACCCGCTCGACATCCGATGCCCGCGTACATGCCAGCACGGTGAGCCGGAAGATCAGCCACAGCTTGATCCGCTGATACAGCGGCATCGGGATCGCGCCCTGAAAATCTGGGGTGTCAACCACGAGGGATCCGTCACGAAAGTAGAAATTCACTCGTTCGCCGAAGCTCCGCCGCAGCCAGATCCGACACAGCCGCTGGAGGTCGTGCACGGGTAGCTGGGGAAGCATGCGGTAGAATGCGTCATTGCGCTCGAGCACCTCGTGGATCTCGGCGTAGCGTTCGTCTGTTGCCAGGCGAAACGCGGAGAGTGCGAGGTTCATGATCTCGCTCGGCAAGGAAGGCTGTCTTGACAGAATGTCCGCCGCGAATCCCGGTAGTGGGACGGTGGGAAGCATTCCTGCCATGAGGGCGAGAGCCTCGAGGGGCAGCTCGGACTGTCCCAGCAGCCATAATGTGGCATTGAGGACCAGCGTTTTGTCAGCACGATCGAGGAATCGCGTGAGCGCAAGGATAAGAGGCGGCGGCAAGTGGGCTTGAGCCACGAGAATCTTGACCACCGCACTAGCGATCCGGTCATCACTCGTCACAAATCTTTCACTGAGTTGGAGGAGCTTTCCAGGAGGCAGGAATGTTTGTGCTCCGAGAAGATCCAAGATGTGCTCAACGTCTCTTTCCTCCTCCTCTTCTTCTTCTTCTTCTTCCCCTTCCCCTTCTCCTTCTATATCCGCCGATTCCGCCAGATCTAGGAGTCTATTTCCCAAATCTGGAGGCAGACCTCGCCTGAGAGCGCTCCGGAATATTGGATCGAACCTTGACGTATGGTGATCTTGCGGATCGATCATCTGAGCGAAAAGATGATAAAGCAATTCGCGCGGGACTTTTGGGTGCTTCCTGATGGCCTCGGATGCTTTGTAAGCCACAGAGAAATCTGGGTCTTCCAGACTGAGTACCACATCATCGAGATACTTTAGCTCATCATCTGGGTACTTTGTCAAGGTTTTGATTGCCTGATATCTAACTAGTGGATGATGATCCCCTAGCAAGCCCGCCACCCGATCTAGCACATGGTGTGGAAGTTCCGATTGACCACGTAGAGCTTTGGCGGCTGCTTCTCGAACAGACCACTTTGTGTCGTTCAGCAACTCGGCCACCGCTTCAAATGTTGGCTTAGATAAATCTGATCGACCGCCGAGGATCAAGGCAGCTACTCCTCGCACTGCGGGATCGATATGCTTCAACCTTCGTACAATGTCCTCTCGAATGTTTTGAGATGGTAAGAGCTGCTGCCAGACCGTAGTTCGTAGATCCTTTACCAGACAATCACCGAAGTGCACTTCTTGGCCAAGCCAGTCCGCCGTACTGGGTGGCAAGAGAGGATGCTGGGCCAGAACCCGGACAGCCAATTTTCGCACGATGAAGCTTCTGTGGTCCAGTAAAGAACAGACATAGCCCAGAATACTTGGAGACACCAGCGAATGGCGGCATAATGATTTCTTTACAATGTCGAATGGCGACGGGTAAGAACCGATTTGTTCGTAAACAAGATAGGTCATGGACTGTAAGATCTCAAGCGACAGATCCAAACGTTCCAGTATCTTGAGAGATTTGGATGTCACCTCCTCTGACTCCGGGTCTGAAAGTCCATGGGCAATGGTATCGACATAGGCTTGCAGAGCTGAAGGTGGCTGTTCAGACAGAATTTCCAGTGCTGCCGCCTTCAAACCAGCTGGCCCATAATGCAGACAATCTAAAATTGCTCTCAGAAGATCCTGTGGTAAGGCCGGTACCTGGACGCCTTTAAAGTCGGACTCCTCCACTTTTGATTCATCATGCAGGTGCACAAGAAGAATATCATAAGCCTTGGGGGACAGTGATCGGCAATTCCTGAGCAGGGTTCGAACAAAGACCGGATTCAGTTCATCGTCGGAGACTTGGTCTACCCAGGAGGCTATCAAGTCAGTGACACTTGTCGAGACTCTGCGCTGAGCAATGACATTCAGAACATGTCGTTTGACATCAGAGCTTCGGTTTTCCAAGAGAGAATATAGAACTGTATCCGGATATTCTGCCTCCCCTGCAAGCTCCCCTTTATCATAAGCTGTGACCTCGAAAGAGCTCCACCGGGCGAGCCGTTGGTAGTGACTCTGACGCAGAGATCTCAGCCTAGCAATATTGTTCGATGCAGGTACTTCACTCCACAAGCGCATCATGAGCTTGCTATGCATGGGGCCCAACATATCTCGGGGTTTGTTTTCCATGACCTCAAGGAATGCGGCCGTATGCTCCTCGCTTTGCTTTTGGTGGTTGTATCCGACACCCAGGAATCCGGCCACAAACCTCCAGAACACCTCATAGCGAACGTTGTATTTCTCTCTTGCCATGAAGACTTGGGGTGGAATATCAGTGTCTGTGCGGCCATTCAGTGTCAAGCTGTGTATTGTGGCTTGGCTGGTCCAGTGTTTCGCGAAAAATCGGGCAGCGAAGAACTCTTGAACTGTCAAGTGTAGAAAGTGAAAGCTTTGCTGGGCATTGTCGGTGGCATCTGAAGAACGAAGAAAGCTTATCTCTTTGATTGCGCTCTCGTGTAGCCTCGGAACAAGTACATTCCCGTTCAGGAGATGTTGATAGATCTGAATTCGTACTGGAGCATCGAAATCAATGATGTTGGTGAGTAGGCCATGGAAGGCCAGCGCCTCGAGGAGGTTGATTTCCTCCTGCATGTGTAGCTGCACCTCAAACTCCGACAGCTCTTCCGTCTGTTGTTCTGTCAGGGTTCTGCCGTCAATTCTTTTCTCCCTACGCCACAGGTCCTTCCGTAGTAGCTCCACGCAGATCGCCTGGTAGATGGTAGTCATAGTCCTGGCTGTATTGATATTACCCAAAGACTCTTTCCAAGTGTAGCAGAGAGCATCGAGTTGAATCGGGATCTGTGCAATTTCCCTAATTCGCGAATGCTCGTCAATGAACTCCCAGATCTTGTCCGCTGTTCCAGGGTCTGGGTGGATTTCTTTGGCTCGTATGTACTTTTCAATTTGCTCAGCGTGAAAGCCCACCGTTTGCAGCTTCAAGTCCTGCTTTGCCATGTTTAGCTGTTTAGTTGAGTATGGACGTGAACTGATAATGGTTTGAGGCTGCTTGAGCAGAGTTTGCAAAAAGCGGCCCATAGGTGAATCGGCATCCCAGTCTTGGGCGACTTCATCTAGGCCATCCAACAGCCAGAGCACCCGAGCGCTATTCCGGGCTACGATTGAATCCAAAGTGTCTGCCACAAGCTCCGAATCCTGGTGCTGGGAGAAGTACTCGTGGTGGAATAGGTCTTTAATGGAATAAGAATCGGCACGTTTACCCTTGAGATGTCGCAGTGGCAGCCACAAAATCCAGTCGAAGCGATCGGACCACAGATTTCGATACAGGAAATCGTGAACGACTTTCTTGCAAAGCGTTGTTTTGCCAACACCTGCCTGTCCTTCAATGAAAATCTTTTTCGGCCGGATCTTCCTGCCCCCTTGTTCCCTACAGTCAAACAGGCTTTCCAGCGGCACCTCATCGCCTTGATCGGAGTCCACGACATTGAGATTGATGTAACAGTGATCCACAGGGAGTCTAGCTCCAGATAGACGCTGAATCTGCAGTCTTTTATCATCGTCCTGAGAGTAAAACTCCAACAAAGCATTCTTGGTGTAATATTCTCGAGCCGGCATGCAACGCCGGTAGGAATCATCGAGGAGGGCGCTGCTGTCATCAGAAAGGTCTTGTCTGACGTCCTCCCATCCGCAGGATTTGAGTGACCAATCGTATGTTTTCGTTCTCTTAAGTGTACTGGCTAGTTTTTGCTCAGGGGGGGTGGTTTGATCCTTGATCGCACAAACAGTGTGCATTTTCCAGGCTTGAACACGGTCATACTTGCTTTCGGGAATGCTCTTATAGATGTGTTGTATCTGATCCGGAGGGACAAGCTGGCTGATGAGATCCAGTTGGGCATACAGGCCGCAAAGAAAGTCCTTGTTGGCTCTACATTCTGCCTGTTGGATGAAATCGCTCAGCTCATCCCAGGACCGGGTGCGTATGAGGATACTGGTCGCTCGTAGGGCGGTATACCAAGACTTCCCCGTCCGCTTCTTGAACATGTCCCAGGTGAAGTCTCGGAGTCGCGAAGCTCCATCTATGCCAGACTTGACTGCCTCCCAGATTTTGCTCGGATCCACAGAGGAGACCGCGCCGGAAACGGTCATTGCGAGGTCGATGGCCCGTAGCAGCCCCCGCAAGGATGCTTTGCCGACGGTATCATCATCCTGGATCCCCCGCAAGGCTTGTCCGGTGTAGGCGGCAGCCTGGGCCACATGAAGGTCACGATCGTGACTGAAGCCATCGAGCAGGGCAATCAACGGCTTGTATAATTGTTCGTGGCTGATATCCGACACGCCGATGTCGACCATGGCGTCGATCACCACCCCTAGCACGCAGACCAGTTCATATTTTCGATCCACCGATCCACCCAGTCTATCTGCTTGCTCCAATCGCACTTTCAGGCTTGAGAACAGGGCTCCCAGAATCTCCGTGCTCTCCGACGACCACTGGCCCTCTCGCTGTCGAATTATGAACGCCAGCGATCGTAGGAGGACCGGGGAAAGCGAAGTTCCATCTATACTGCCGACAATGACCGCGTTGACGAAATTTCGCAGCAGCTTGATCCACCCATTGGGGACCAGCACTTCCGAGAGACGAGCAGCCTCCCATGCCAACTGTGGTATGCTAGACGTGCTGAGGCAGGCGTCGACGGCAGTCGTGCCCCAGGCCTGCAACGCCTCTTTTTCGGCCGTTTCAATGGCTTGATCCCGGAGACGAGAGATGAAATTGGGGAGAGTCAATGGTCGTGAGGAAATGCAAGGCATTATGAGAAATGCTTTGACATTGGAAAGGAAATTGCAAGCGGCGATGAATTGGAGAATCGAAGCAAGACAGAGAGAATGAGACCGTCAGCATGCATCGCTGACAGTGGGGCGATTGGACCACTAAGCCCCTTCCCTTTGCTAGCGCATGAGACTTATACATGAAAGTATACCGGTAGGACCGATCTGTGGTTGCGGCTTCGTGAATAAGCTGAAGTATTATGCTTACTGCGGTGCGAGGGATCCTTCGATTTGGCGCATGCGCCGTCCGAAAAATGGGAGTCTTCTAGAAACTATGGCATCCGACGCCGCAATGGTCCGGTCGAAGAGAGTGCACGAGGTCCGAATGGCCGTTCCATGCGGCTATGGCAAAGCGGCTATGGCAAAAAGACGCAGCTCGCCCGGTGGGACAGTCTCTGGGTGGTATCCATGCCGCTTGATTCAGAAGGTATTAGGTTTCTTTATGAGAGACGCCAGCTAGATCGAGTCAGTTGGGGGGGAAGCCGTGGGCGAGAAGCAGGCGGAGGCGGTAATACCAGACCTGGATCTGATTCTGCCACAAAATCTCTTCGTCGCGATTGACACCTTCATACTCCGTTGATGCATTTCCCCAAACTCATTATTCATATTCACTCAATCGGAAGCGAAAGAAATCTTCCTCCTTGGCTCATGCTGATGATGAAGGTGAAGATGATGATGACGACGACGACGACGACTATACGGCCCTCGGCGTCGTCCGCAATGTGGAAACCACGGAGAATGTCGGCGGCTCCTGACAATCCGAATCACCGAACGAGGCGAAAGCAGCGACCTTTGGATGTTCCAGATTGTACTGGGATTGTAGCGAGAGGTATTGCCATCGACCATAACCTTCTGTTGATGAACAGGAACAACTGTGAAATATCATACCGCTGCCTGCAATGCCAGATCGATGTGTCAGACTTTTTGTAAATACTGGTCCTAATCCTTAGGCGCTGAACAACAAAGCAAACACACACTCATCCAGCGTCCTGTAGAAACGGGGAACACGCCCGCGTCCTTATTCTATTCATCATCACCTTGAGGAATCTCTGCAGTTGCCAATTTCGTCTGCACCAACAAGATGCCTTATCCCCCAGGTCCTGATGAAGATCGAAACGGGTCTGATCCGCATTGATTTGTTTTGAGTTTGGAAGCGATGGTCTACTCATCACCATCTTGAATTGCGGGAAGATGCTGGATCGAGGGTGGACGGGTTCATAGCTGATGGTATTCGTGCTGCGCAAGCTGGCGGCTTCTCTCTCGATCCTAAAACGGCCGTTGCCCGGACCGCAGGAACAGCTGCTGCAAACTGTGAGTTCATCTTACTGACAGGATTTGTTGCGAGATGACAGCAGCTTCTGCATTCAATGTTTCATATCGCGAGGACGCTCCCACACTTCGTTTCATGGATGATAAGTTTGTGCGTCGGGATGGGGCCTAAATATAAGAATGCTGATCGAGATAAAGCAGCAGGCAAAGGCAGCCGCGTACATTATCAGAGACAGAAGGAGTCAGGTAGATTTGACAAGTACCAACGCGAAGAACAAGCACAGGAGATGGCAGAACATCACAACAATGAAGAGGGTGACCGGTAAAGGATGATGCTGGTGACCACTTATCAGACAAGAAAGGATCCACACAATTAGTGTTGATGCACCTGGGCGTAGCAAAGAAAACAAGGCTCTGCAAAGGCTTGTGAAGGAAACAGTCCCCAGAGATCTTTTGTCTTCCAATACTAGTATCAAAGATCTCTCACCGCCGTAGGCAGAAAGAGTGAATAGCATCATGCTCGTGCTAGCCTGCCTAGCAACTGCCTTGGCCTATATCGGGGTACATCTCCACCATGCAGCGATCTCTATCATCAGATCTGGCCCACTGTGGAGCCTGCCATGCGGCAATGTCACTTATACTAAGAATTCCCTATATCTAAACGTATCACTAGAGTATAAACCCTGAATACTTAATCCCTCTGCCAGCTAATAGACCCTTTCAGCACAGCTAGAACGCTTTCTTAGTCTCTATCACAGAAAATCCAGCATGAACCCATCTTTTCCCTCTCTGTGCCGTCCACAAATCTCATTCTGTAATCTGCAAACACTCACACCAGTTTCACACCACCTCGCACGATCGATATCCTCCCCTCCCACATCCCATACACAATAACACAGTCTCGAACTCATCACCATTCCCCCACTGAACCCCCTTCCTCTCCCATACTCCCTTAGATCTCAAACCACCACTGGCTCAATCGAGACCCCACCAACAAGAACGATGGACTACCAACCATGGCACAACGCCGCCTTCTATTCGGGGTTCGAATTCGCGATCCCCCCAGACCCCAAGGGAACAGCCCAAGACCGCAAGAAAGGCAAACAAGACCCCAGAAGGGGAAAAGCGAACACCAAGCCGGAGGCAGAAAGCAGCCAACCCGAACCTCCCACGGGAAAGCACGCCTCGAAAGGAAAACGCAAAGCCAAACCCTCCCAGCCCGCGCAAGAAACCTGGCAGATCCAAACCGTCCTCTCCATCCGCACCCAGCCCTCCGCAATCCCAGCAACCGAGCCCCCCGTCTTCACGACCATGACCTCGCTCGTCGCGCGCGTGAAGCAACTCACCGGACCCATCCGGGGCCGCGAAGCCATCCTGAAGATGAGACTGCACCCGGCCCCTCTGGCCCAGACTGCCTCCACAGCCTCAGCTACCCAGAACCAAACCCAAACATCCCCAACCTCGGCTCACGACAAAGAAAAACAAGCCCTCACCCACCTCCCCAGCGCCAAGATCTACGCGCCCTACCTCATCACCACCCACCGCAGCGCCTTCGCCTCCCTCGCCGCGAACCCCCGCGACCCTCGATTCACAGCCGCCGCGATGGCGACAGCGGTATCCGTCGAGGACAGCTTCGCCACAATCCTCCTCCTGGCCATGCCGGTCGGGACGGACTGCCGGAATATTCAGATGTGGAGGGATGCCGGTGGCACCGAGCGGGAGGCGCTCCGCTCCGCGTTCCGCGAGACGTATCTGGCGCTGGCCGCGGAGGGGGTGATGCATACGCGTCCCGGGCCGGAGCATGTTATTTGGGATCGGGAGCATCGGAAGTGCTATATTGTGGGCTTGGGGAACGCGGTGCTGGGCGAGAGGGATCGGGTGGTGCCGGTTGGGTTGTGGAATCGGGTGTTGGGGGTTTGGGGGTTGGCGGGGGTTGATTGGGGTGTTGAGGGGGAGGATGGAGAGGATGGGGAGTGACGAGTGAGGAGTGGGGGAGTCTTCAGTCGCTGACCATATTGATTGGTTTGTGGGTGTGCAGTATGCAAGACGGACGATGCTTCTTTGGAGTCATTGTTGAGCTTGATATATTCAGTTTCTGGTATGGGGATGCATACACCCACAGGATCTTGGAGGCTCGGTGGCTTGGTTCTGTCTTAGATTTGAGACTCGTGCTATCGGGATTTGACAGGTCAATGTGTACGTACTATTTTGCTTTATCTTGATGTACAGTATGCCATGCATACCTTATCGCCATTGAGAGCTCGGATCTATGGCTGTAGTCAGTGTATAGTGTCATACTCACCAATTCCCCACCTAAATGCTAGATCACCCGAGGTCTCCACATTTCCGGACAGCGGAATGCTGGGGTTAGACGAAACTACTAGACCCGCGGCAGGTTGCGGCTGAGACGCGGGTTCATACACGAGACGTTTTGCTTGTGCATCCAATGACGTCTCAGGGGTCACCTCGGCCTCAATTACACCCAGAGCGGTACACCCAGAGAAATAGTTAGTCATCTGAATTTCGATAAGAGCAACGGACTACAGACCATATACAAAGCCTGCAACCCCACTGCTGGCCATGCGATTCGCCGACTAACCCATCCGTTCGAAAAACTAGCATACAACAGGAAATAAGAGCACGAGCAGGGGGATCAGAAAGCCGACCATGGCAAATAGATTAGCAACAACTCATGTTGTCTTACCATCAGAACAACACCATGAAATAATTGTACCCAGTGAAAAGACCCTTGCGAAAAACGAAAACGAGAAAAAGAAACCAGGTGGGGATCGAGTGAGATTTGTGCAGAAACGTTGTAATATCAACCGGCAACATCAAGCGCAAAGAAAATGAAAAGGAGCGAGCAAGTCACAACTCAGCCCCCGGAAATGATCAAGTCGTAGCACATATGGAATGGCCCAAGGAGAACGCCGCGCAGACACAGGAATAGAAATTTAACGAACAACAAGAAACTAGACTTGGCCGGGATCCACCTCAAGAGGCTCCAGCTCCTTTGCTTCTTCATAGTCATCGAACTCAAGACCTGCATCGCGGCAACGTTGCAACCATTTCAGAGCAATGTCCCCACGGCGGTTGACCTCGATCTTCAGTTTCGAGTTCTGAGAGCTGATTTCGCTGATGGCATGACTCGTGGTCATGTTGTTCTGTTCCCAGCGCTCACTCATTGCCTTTTTCTCCTCATGCAACTGGCAGATGTACTCAATCGCACGCTGCAAAATGGCACCCTTGTTCTTGTCGCAATTGGGCACAAGGCGAGCAATCTGGTTGATGCCCTCATTGATGGCTTCACGACGACGACGCTCCACTGAAACAACATGTTAGTATCGCTGATCATGCACCGCCGTCTGGAGAATCCTACCTTCTTTGTGGTTGTTCTTGCGAATCTGGTGCCACTCCGGAGAGCCAACAGAAGGCTTCTGGTTCATACTCTGTGCCTCACGCGCAGCATACACCGCAGCAGCAGTGGAGTTGTGGCCATGAGTGGATCCAATAGCCTGGCTGATGTCATCTCCGAAGGACAAGCCGTGCGCAAGGTTGTTGTCGAAGGTGTTGTCGGGAGGAGGTGGGTATTTGTTCTGAGGAGTGTGGGCAGCGAGCGCAGCTTTAGCCGTCAAGGCGTTGTCGTCCGAGATACCATTCTGCGGACCGACGTGCTGAAGAATCTGTTGGTCGATATTCAACTCTGTGGAGGG